AAGTCAAAGGGCAGGGTTCAGCAGGATGAACCACAATTGTTTCAGGTGAGGGAATTTTGCAGGTTGCCTAGCAACAAGTTCATACTCTATCCTCTCTCTGTCTGACAGGCCAGCTGAAAGTTAATGGTTTCAGCTGATGCTCGGTTGGTTTCCAAAGGGATTTGTCCCGTTGCTTTCCTTTCCTCACAGTCTAAATAACATTGAAGAAATTGCACTTACAAAGTCTGTCACACTTAAAACACCCAAGAAATCATATGTTATGGTTGTTTAAGAAGCCTCCACTTAGAAGGAAGCCTCTTGTATGTGAGTATTTGATGAACTCCGCTATTATGCTCTGCATCTTTGGACTAGGGAAATCTACCATGTGTAAAATCTTCAGACAGTGCATGTTCTGAGTAAGCTGTGCCTTGCTGACCTCATAAAAGTGGGGAATAAGAGAAGGAACAGTGTCAGAAACCCTAGATTCCTTGCATGTACTTGTTTTAACTTCTCCTAGGTAGAGTGAGAACCTCTACAAACTTCTACAGCATAGTCCTCCAGATGTTTGGGGACTCCACATGGAGATTTATGGATGTATATACAGGAATTTTAGAGAGAAGTCATGACACAGCCAACTTCTGGAACTCACTTTTGGCAGGAAAACTAACCATGGGCAGATATCTCCCGCCCCCGCCTCCCATATCTGAGTGAATCTGGATGCATTATTCACATGTGTACCATCAGTAAAGAGGACTTGCAGCTACTAAAGTGCCTCACCCATCATGTTGTACCTGCTATAACAATGTAGAATAATGTAGCCTTGCCCCATCCTCCAGACAGGCCTCCCTTCCCTCTAAGCCTCAGCTCAAGCACAGCATCCCCTGCGTAGTCCCCAATCCATACTGTTGCTGAACCCTGATTTTCTTTCATCACACTGCACCTCACAGGTGAGTAGACCAGTTCTCTGTATTTTCCATTTAAAACCAGGACTGAACCCACCTCACCATTACCCCTTGGACCAGCAATGCCCCTGAGCGCCTTCCGAAGGAAATCTTGGATTTTAGCTGTTCTTATGGTGGCAACAGAAACTGCCCAAAACTCGTATTTCTCATTAGAAGCCTTCTGTGGAGTTGCTACACACTGGGGTCCTTTCTGGGGGAAAATAGGCTAGTAGGGTTGTAGAGATGATTTACCAGAAGGGGGAAGAGGCTTCAGTGCAAAATCTACTCAAGATGTAGGGAAAGATCTGGCAGGTGAGTTCAGTGGTATTCCTTATCTTTATTATATTATTATTATTATTAAAACATTTCTATGCCGCCCCTTGCTGAAGCCTCGGGGCAGCTTACAACACAATAAAATACAATAAAATACAAAAATAACAATATAAAATTAACAATATAAAATAAATAACAATGTAAAAGAAGTTATCTGTAGTAACCAAGCAGGAGGGAGGGCAAGTTTCACTGATAGGCCTGTGCAAGGGGGGCACTACCTCCAGAATCGGACAGCAGCGTGGTGGTAATACTGGGTGAGAACCGCCTCAGAGACAGGAAGGAAGGAAGGGGAGACTCGATGAACAAAGCAGGTAGCATGGCTGTGGGAAGGCAGCCAGCGGCGTGCGCATTAAAAAACACACACAAGGGCATCAAAAGGTTTTTATTGGAGCAGAGACAGGTTCTGGCAAGGGGTTGGGGTGGAATGAGAAAACTGATGGCAGCCAGCAAAGGCAAAACATGCCACAAATATGCAGTGAGCAACAGGTAAAAGGCTGGTGATGGAGAAACAGAGCAAGAGATGCTCGGGAAGTGGATGCTGCCCCTAAGTGCCCCTAGGCTAAGTGCTGTAGCCTAGTGGAGGATGTGAGAGGGGCAGAGGAAGAAGCCAAGTCATGGCAAGCCCATCAGTCTCTTCCATATACCACGGGCTCTCTGTGAACAACCCACACGATATAGTTACTCACAGGGTGGCTTAGCATGTCCGAACCCACTCAGTGTTTCCAGCATTCTCAGCCTATCAGCCACTTCCCTTTCACAAGTGGCACCCTGGAAATACAACTGATTAGGCTGTCAGAGCTTAGCCTCAATCACAGCTTTGGTTACTTTAGCTTTTTAAGTATTAAAAAGCCTATATCACCCTTAACTTCGTTTTCCAGGCAGCCCTGAGTGCCCGTTTCTCTTGAAAGATGGGGTCAGTAAGACTGCTCAGTCCGATGATAGGGTATTCAACAGGCACAGTTTCTGCAGCTCTGTTGTTTAAAGGCATCCACATTTCTCACTGTGATTTCCTTGCTGGGTTCAGCAGCATTGGCGAGGAGAAAGCGTGGGCATGCTTGGTCCTGCCCAGCTGTCCTCATGTCACTTGAGGGGAGGGCAGGGAAGTGAATTTCTCAACACTACTGAATCAGCAAAAGCAATCAGAGGTTGTGATCCATAGCTTTGGTGGCAATCCAAGCTCAGTGAGATGCAGCCAACTATGCTCACATTTGGAAGTCACAAGGCCCACCACCCACACAGGCTCCGAGGGCGCATTTCTTTTGTCTGTCTCAATAGAAACACAGTGTGGCTTGCTAGGCTAAGTCCAGCCCACTCATCTATGATTGTGCCCGTGCAGCACGTCTTGCTTATCTCAGTATTCCTGATCCTGACCCAGTAACACCCACTTGCCAGTGTTCAGGCAGGTGTTGCTAAAGCGACCTCCAGCCTACTGCAAATCACAAAGCCACCTTCACTGACTGTATTTTACTAGTGCCATCTTCTGGCTCAACTTTTTATCCTAACCTTTCCAAAGGTGTGTTTGGTTTTTTTTAAGTAGCTCTTATATTCTACTTTGCCTTTGCCAGCACTCCTATTTGTATCACAGGACCACATGAATGGTGGGTCTGTGTGGCAGCTTTCTTGGAAGTAATTATTACTTAGCAACTGCCCACTGGCAATATTGCTACTCTCTCCATCTGGAGTCTCCCACTAGGTTACCTGCTTCTCTTGAGTTTTTGAATTAACTTTCTAACTAAGAGGCTGACATACTACAAAACGTTTGACTCCAACAGGGGTCAAATGAATTGTTTGGAACACAGGGACACACCTCTGTCTTATACTTAGATTCCTGGGCATATTTTATTTTAGCCTCACCAGTTTGCCTTTGGGGAAGTGAGTGTTTTGTAATCATCCATGACCACTATGGAGCTGGTTTAAGAATGAGCAAGACTCATGAGGACACCCATGACATTCAAAATCCCAAATGTGCTCAGCAACCACAAAAGATTGGGAAGTTCTACATTGTGATGAGCCAAATGGAAATCTGGCACTTATCAACTTAAGAAATGTCAACACTGATTACTTTTTAATCTGGAAGTGGTTTGATTATTTTTTATTAGTTCTGGCCAATTTTCATTAATTCATATTGTATAAGATGTTGTCGGCAAGGTCATAGGATTATTTGGAGTCCCAGCTCTGAGATCCTGAGATCTTGGATCTAGAACGCCACAGGCTGAGCCCCTGACCTACTCCCCGAAGCCCACATGGAAAGACTGCACTGGTGCCCCCCACCATACACACATGGAAGTTGCAACTCAGCCTTGGAGGGGGGAAGCTTCTCTCAAAAAGAGAAAGAGAAACATTAACCTTATTTTTCCTTTATAACATGTTGTTTGATTTTGTGCATTCTATCGTGTTTTTGCAAATTCTCTGGAAGCTCTTCTGAGTGCTATACAAATCAAATATACAATGGCAGTATTGTCCTAATATTGGGAAATGAAAGCATTTTCCAGTCAAGGACCCAAAATTGGGTAGTTCCGGGTTCTCAAGGTAGCCTTTATTTCTTGCTTTTATATCCAGCCTTGAGATACTTTCAACTCTCTGCAGATTTTATGGATGAATGGTTTCAATGCTTCCTGATTGGGAGAAATTGGCTATGAAATGGGCATTGTTCTAACCAAGGCTAAAATTTTTACTGAATGCCACCTCCTTAAAATAGATTCATTGCACTTATCATGATGTTATGCCCAGATTTTCCTTCTTCAACTTGCTAACCCTCAGGGTCATTAGTATAAATGACACCTTTAGCCATGCATTCCTAGATGGGTAGAACAGATCTTGTTCTGCTCACCTCTAGCTTGTTAGCCATAAAGAGAGGCTGTATTGACTGTCCCCAAGTGTTTTGGAAGATTTTCAGCTCATGACTTGGTTAAGAAAATCCTCTCTCATGTTCAGGGCAGATCCTCTCAGAAACAGTACAAGATGAGCAAGATAGCTGGACACGGTTTTCTGCACAGCAACTATTCTGATGGTCTCAAAACAATGACTTGGCAAAGTAAAACACACACAGTGGATGTTCTGAGCCCTGGATCTCTCAGTTCAAGGAGCATCAGGACCAGCCCGGGAGTTAGGAGGGTAGCTATCACAGGGGATGGTAGACATCCTTACTCCCAAAGGGCTAGCATGAATAATTATCCCTCACTTAGTGTTTTCAAATTGTTATCAGGAAATAACCATTCCTTATAATCTCCAGAAGTACATTTTAAGGTACGCGCAAATATCGGACGTCACTTCTTCAGAGAAATAGAGGGAAATCTAACAACTCAGCTACAAGGCAGATTATTTCTAGGGCCAAGCCTCCCTGAGACTGTCTTTCTCTTCCCATTCTAGGTTTAGGTGCAAAGGTTACATTTAGTGGTAGCCAGGGCACAGTGGGTACCAAAGCAGAAGACCAGATCACAAGGTTGCTTCTCAGACTGCACACTAACTGGACAAGTTGCTACTGATGCACTTGATCACCTACTTGAGAAGATATGTGCATTTACTTGCATGTGTGCACACATCCCTGAGCGAGCGAGTGAGCGAGCAAGCAAGCATGTACAGCTTACTCCCTCATATGGTGACTCTACCACTTGCCCCCCAAAGATGGGGAAGACCAAGTGGCCATAAACTCATCAGGAGCCCTACACATGAGGGAACTGAGGTGTTCTTATGCCCTTATGAGAGACCATCAATCCTACAATCCACTTCACAAAAACAAAGAGCAGCTATAAGTTACCATTTATTCTGCAGAACAGAGGTATATCCATGGAGTTAACACATCAGTACTGTGATGCAGTATTTCCAGCCTTAAATCTTGAACAGCAGCATATATACACACACACAAACACACACTGTACATCCCTTGACAGACCCATGTCTTCTCCACAACAGAGCCCTGATTGCCGACCGCCTAGAATACCAGAAGTGCAGGAATTCACAGCCCCCTCTGATGCCCACATGGTTTCATAGGGAAAGGGGCAAATAGACTGAGGTAACATGCCCAACAAGAGGGTGAGAAAAACCTGTCTCATCGTCAGCATCATCCCCAAAAGAGGATCGTGCTTTATGGCAGAATGTGGCTGGCAGGGAGAAGAGCCTTTCCCGGCTCACTTAGTTCCATTTCCCCACCTAATGGGAGTTCATGGGGCTTGATTGCCATTCATTATGACACAGTGAGTGCCCCCTGTTCACTGTGATCCATGTTCCAGAGGCGGTAGAACTCCGCAAAGTCCACATAAGGCTCAACACGCCCATCTTCATCCGGCTGGAGAGAGTGAGAGGGGCGGGAACGGAAGAGCCCCCCATCGGAGCTTGAGCTGCTACTCTGGGTGTGTGTGTTGGTAGACTGGAGGGTCACTGTTGGGCTTTGACTGCAGGTGGGGCCGGGGAGATGGAAAGAAAAAGAGAGAGGGGCACATTTCAGTCAGCGTAAGTAGCAAATCAGCAGTAGTTATGATTCACAGCAGAGGCATTGAATCGCTTTCAGCCTGAGGGTTGAATTCCATTTTGAAGAAACTCTGGAGGACTTCATTCCAGTGGCTGGCAGGGCTGAAGACAAACTGGGGTGGCTCCAAAAGAGCAGCATTATTTGTATATAGCTCTTACTGCCAGTAACTTAACCTTAGGCTTACACTACCTAGATTACCACAACTTATGCACACTCCCTCATTTATCTGAATAGCCTGGGATATATCCAAAATGTTTGGATACTCTGGTGTTAGGCTAAATGAAAGGCTCACTGATTAGAAATGGCTATAATGACGTGGCACTACCCAGATGAGAGATAGATTTAGGTAACTGAGATTGAGATACAAAATGGCAGCTATACCTTCAAGATATTCTGGAATACAACTCCCAGCATTCCTGACTTTAATGGCTGGGGCTGATGGGAGTTAAAGTTCAAAATGACTGGAGGACAGGAAGCTGGGGGGAGGCCATACAGGGTTACAAGTGTGCAGAAACATGAACACAATGCTGAAGTTAAGGATGTTTGCAAGTTTAGGGTTAAGAAGTGTGAAATGCTAATTCTTCCAATGTTTCAGCTGTAAGGGAAAGGGAGAGCACAAAGTCTGACCATAAGAAAATTACTTAGTGAGGGTGGGTGTGGCTTCATCCAGCGTGGAGCTACTGTGGGCACCATTGACCATCTGACCTTGGGAAGGCATGACAAGAGATAACGTTACACTGGTCTTGCTTGTGCTCTGGGTACTGGAATAGGGCACCGAGACAGGATACACCCGGCCACCTGGAGATGTGGAATAAAAACACATCAGTAGACAAGGATGAGTGAGGTAGCTTGAAAAGTTTGATACCTGTGTTAATTCAGTAACTGACAGGAGTTTCCCTGCAGATCACAGAGAATCGTGCTTCTATAACTCAGTGGTGAATGACTTGCAAAGCCCACTTGAGGACACGCTGGGTTCTGCATTGCATTCCCTATGACAACAAGCATCTCTCAAAATGAATACAATACTTTCATCAGTGTAATGTTAGCCCTGAGTACCTCCTTCCAAAATGTGTTAGCTTACAACTGCCATACTCCCAGTGGTTACGTGGACTAACATTAATGGGGGTTGATAACGAAAACATATGGAAGGGAACAAGTTGTCCACCTTTGCAATAGATCATTACAGTTTAGGCAGAACAGTTTCGATCTGTCTTCTTTACACAGATAATTTTACCACCCATCCAGTCTCATACCTTGTGTTGGGGTCAGTGTGGGCTGGCTCATCTCACCCAACGGGTACCCAAAATTCCTCACCAGCAGTGTCATGTCCTCATGCCGAGAGCAGAGCTTGGACCGTTCACCACCACTGGCATGTGTGTCACAGTGAATGCGCTTCACTCGATCTACCACAGCTTGAGCCACGGAGTCCAGTGAGGTTTGCTTAGCAAACTCCGTGGCAATCATGGCTGCAATCTCCTGGAAAAGAATGCGTTTAGGGGAAGTTGCAATTATTCAGTACCCCAGATGTTCACCCACCCATATGCAGGCCACTCATTCATGGGCAGTTCCTGCAGAGTAACCTCAAGCCTGGGGACCACATCCAGGCCTCCAAACTTCTGGAGGCTTAGCATCTCTTAGGTGGTCTACCCTAAAATACATGGGTAATGCAATTAAAACTAATAGAAAAGTAGAAATTAAAAACATTTCAGCAGACGCAGGAAAAGCACTTCAAATGGCATTTGAATCCTGCTACAGATTCTGCCTCTCTGCATTGGAGATCTAACTGTTCCACACCACACAGGAACAACCACCCTGAAGGAATTAATGTGATGCAAAGGCCAATGTTTGAAACTGCTCTGGACTTCTCACCTGATTGGCTTGCCCAGGCCCATGAGCTGCTTCCAGTGCTTTATAGAGCCCTTCTGACATCAGAACAAGAAAGCCTGTGACTCCATCTAGTGGATGCCCTCCGTGAATTTCAGGCTCTGCTATGATTGGTTTAGATTTTGCAGCACTTCACCGGAGAAAGCAAGACAGAGAAAGCGAAGTTAGTATTCGACACAATGGAAAAGGACTTGCCCTCCAAAAAAAAAAAAAAAAACCAGGGAAAGACAGGTCATGCCTCACCTCAGAAGCTCAATATCACTGTAGCCATATTTGACCTTATAATCCCCGATGCGCCGGGTACTCTCCTGCCCACATATGGTTCCTACTTGCTTTATTTTTGCAGCATCCAGACCTGCCAGGTAAAGAACCAACTTTGGTGCACAGGCTAGAGATCACATATCTGCATTTCAAGACTGGAAGAGCGAAATGCCCTCGCCTACACAGGTAGGTTAACTGAAGGAAGACACTGTGGACTCAGTAATGAGCGGAGGACAGCGAGCAGCTTTTCAACACAGACAATTTTCTCTTTGATGGGACCAGAGACCTTCTGCATTTGACACAAGCTGATTTAAGCCACAATCCTATGCATGCTGAGACAGAGTAAACAACCAAAACTCCTAGCGTGCCCCATCCGCTTATGGGAGATGCTGGGAGTGGTGGGCATTTTCTCTAAACTTGCAAGACACAAAGCTTAAAAGCAGAGGTCCTGCAAAGGAGGTAGGTACTTATGTTGGGGAAACAACTCTTTGGGTGAGAGCTGGCTAGCAATGGGCATTAAGCCCTACTTCAAGCTGAACCTGCATTCAAGGGGGTGTGAATGGAGCTCAAAATGGCATAGAGTTTTTTATGCTGAATTAAGTCTGAATCTCCAACTCCCTTCAATTGCCAAATTAGCCCTGGTACTAATTATACAGCACTTCAGTTCACTTTATAGTCTATATCTCCATCATTTTCGCTGAGTAGCTTGACCAAAGCTTCATTAACGACTTCATGAATGAAGTTTCCAACTCAGATTATCTTTCTACATAATTCAAGGAACTTAAAGACACGATAATGTATCTTGCTCATATCTCTTATCCTACCTTACAGCAGCCTAACCAATCTAGAACTGAAATGTCAGTTAAGCACACATACCATGACTTGTTCATGTTATCTAGTCAGCATTGTAGATGAGAAGCACACTGACACTGTTTGCGTCCAAAGCCAGCATAGTACTCTATATGCAGGAGCCCAGTTTTCGAGAGCAACAAAATGCATGTGTTACTTTCCAATCTGAAGCTGAATATTGGCACTTGACTGTTTTCTGTCCAACTTTAGGTTAATATGAAATACTACCTTCATGCATAATTTCAATCCAAACCTGACAAATACCACAATCTTGAATCTGACATGAACAGGCATGTGAATCCAAGAGCAAAAATGTGTGGAAAGACACAATTTTCACAGGGAGAGACCACAGATCAGTGGTCCAGCCCATGCTTTGCATGCAGGAGATCCTAGATTAGCTTTCTCCAGCCTGATGCACACTAAATGTTTTTGATGTCCATTCTCATCAGCAGCCAGCAACGATCAAGAATGCTCAGAGCTGTAGTGCAAAACACTTGGAGGGCATCTAATGTTCATTCCCTTGCACTTCCAGTTAGAAGAACCAAAAGAGAGAGAGAGGGAGGGAGAGCGAGCGAGCGTGCAGGGAGAGCCATTGCTCATCAGGGTAGACCAGCCTTCCTCAGCCTCATACCATCCAGGTGTTTTAGAATACAACTCCCATGATTCTTGAGTACTGGTCTTGCTTGCTAGGTCTGATGGCAGCTGCAGTTTCCAAAATCTGGAGGACACCAGGTTAGGGAAGATTGCAGCTGACTAAAACACACTAGATGGACCAATAGTCTGACTCAGTCTAAGGCAGCTTCATGTGCTGCTTTTCTCCTCTAATAGCAGCAGGACAGGGCTGAAGTTTAGTCTGAGGCTGACTTAATTCAGTTGATATGACTGTCAGTTGATATGATGTACAGCTCAGGGGTCTCTTGGTGCCAGCTGTGCCTGACAACAACAATGCTTCTGTCATGGGCTCATACAGTTTAGCCCAGCAGCCATATTTTGTAAGGACTATCACTAAATAAAGGTCCTTGGAATGTGGCTGCAGGCTGCCAAATGCCAACCAAATTGTATCAGACAAAGAGTGAGGAAAACAGTTTCATTTCTTGTGGTGTTTGAATAAGTCAAGCACGAGATACAGGAATATAAGGGGCTGGGTAAGAACACCAGATCTCAGGTGTTTTTTTCTTACTTTCTGAATTCTGTGAAGTAAGGAAGCTCATTATTTAACTGTGTTTAAAGTTACCATTCCTACCTTCCTCCTGTTGCTCTCAGGAGGAAGGCAGGAATAATTTGTTCTCACAATTTGCCACATAAAAATGATTTCCAGACATATTCAAGCACATTCTTGGCTGGGCAGAAATATTTTGTGTTGACAGCTACCATGACAAATAAATTATTTTCTTTTCCTTTCTATCACCTTGTAAGCTCAGCAAGAAAGAAACTTCTTCAGCAGTGACCTTCATGAACTGTGAGATCATGCAGAAGGGCCCTTTGCAGCTTGGTCACCCCTCAGATGCAGAACTCTTTTTCCAGCTGTCAAGTCAATGACCAGGCCTGGGTGCCCTTGGAAACAATGCAAGAGCTTAACTGACACAGGTCAGTGCAAAGCAGAGATAGCTGATTAATTTGGACACTGGCTTGAGAGTGGCAACTTAGGTGCAGTTCCCACTACAACAGCTGTGCTGTGGCAGCCCTTTCCCCACGCGGCTTTGCATTGCCACCTATCCTCTTCTGCCGTGGCCAGCACTCAGTACTCACCCAGCTGGGAAAAACGGAATAGCTCATCCTCATTCTCTGTGGTGTGATCCATGTTGAGCTGTGTCACTTGCAACCCATCCACGGTAGATTTGCACAGAAGTGCACGGTTGGTTCCTGTGGAGGAGTGCATGACACAAAGGTGTAAAGAGAGAAATGTGAAGCACCTAGAAAGCACATGTTTTTAGTGCGACCCATCACCACCACATGGGAAAACTTTGGCCAGGTTTGTGAACAACGAAGTCTTCCATCTTCCCCAGTCTCCCAAAACACTGCCTAGTTTGGGGCAAGTCCTAGCAGCAAGCTTCAGCAATCCTGAAAGAAGCCACTGCAGTATTTCTCTCATACAAGGAAGATGACATACTCCTAACTGCCTTACTCTTCATCCCTCGTTGCTGCATCTAGGAAGTGACCAAATCAAACCAGCACTGAAGAGGAACACACCTACATTGGCGATGTAGAGCTTGTTGTTAAGAATGACTGCCACAATAGCCATAGCTCCTCCAGAGATTTCCTTTTCTAACGCCTTTAACCGTTCCAAAATTTTCTGGTACTGAGAAGGCAGCTGGTGATGGGGGACCCCCTAGAACATGGGGTTATAGAAATCTGTGTTACATTTATTAGCACAAAACTTCTGGAAACTTCTATGTACCACACACCAAAACAACCAACCTAACTTTTAACAATGTTTTTCTCTACACTCATTTGTATGCATACCTGCCAGCAGAAAATAACACTTCATGCTCTAGTCCACAAATGCTTATGTCATAATAAATACCTGTGTCTTCAGGTATTCCCAGCTGGGTGAGTACTGTGTTTCAGGCACACTAGTGCAGCAGGGCTGAAGGGGATAGGTTGCAATAGCTGCCTGGGGAATGCTGGGAGGTGTAGAACTTATTTCTCTCTAAGCATACGTAGTATTGTGCCCTAAGTGTTTCTGAAGCAACTAACAAGTCTCCAAAGAGTTTCATTGAGGACGATAGTTTGAAACATGAGAACATTAGAAATGGGAAAGAAACTGTATCCCATACAACACCCCCCCCCCACAAGTTAGTTCAGCAGTACACATGGGTCCTTGCAGAAAAAAAAAGCACCATTAATGTTTCCTTAATTCAACAAAGTTTCTTTTAAGGTCAGGGGAAGAGGTTACCTCTGGCAATTGGGATTGTAGGCTGGCTTTCTCTGCCAATGTATCGTCGATGGATTCTAAGAAACTCCTTTCTACCACATCAAAAGCCTGGGGTATCAGAAGGAAAGAATTACAAAAATATTATCAGAACAGAAACTTTGTATGGCCAGCTATGCAGACTCTATCATGTGTATTTCTTCAACCACGGTGCTCAGATACTACCTATGATTTCAGAAGTTCTACAACAGATCCGTTATTGTGTTCATACCAAGAAGAATTTTAGCACCAAGGTGAGCTTGTAGTCCCAACCCATTGCCAAACCTCTCCACCCCACCCACCATTACAATTCCACAGACCAATGTGCTGTTTTTTCCCCTATAGCAGCCTTCCCCAACCTGGCACCATCCAGATGTGTTGGACTGCAACTTCCAGAATCTGCAAATGAGCACCAGACTGGGGAAGATTGCTCCAAGGTGAAGAGAGTGCCTTGTTCCCATTGACTCCTACCCATGGCATTCTCTCTTAATCTGTCCTGTTATATTAGGTCTCAGTTACATTCTTCCCACAGAGACCATTCTGACATAGCATAATAACTCCAAGTGTGAGATATGAGCAAGGATGTCTCTGGGACAAACTCCATTTCAACCACAAATTCAGTGTGGTCATAGATAAGTTGCCTCAATCCCAAATTTGCAGTAGCAGCAGCAGCAAACTGCTTGATCCTGCGTATACCGAATACCAAGATAGTCATGTGGTGGACATAACAATGTGGAATGTCTGCTATAAATGCTATATATTTTTATGTCCACTGACTACTCTATTAGTCTGCTAAATAAAGAAAGAAATAAATATTATCCAAGCATTCTTTGTTGCCAGTTTTCTTTTTGTCATACTGAATAGTGATCCTTGATCCCTGAATTTTGGCAGGCTACTCAGTTATCACCTCACTCACACCCCCAAGATTCCTCATTGTCCCCTTCTTGCTCCTGCTGCAGCCTTTAGAATATAGAAACATAGAAACAGAGTGAGTCAGAAGGGGTCTCCTGGGCCATCTAGTCTGACTCCTGGCTCCAGCCAGCTCTGCTCATGACATGCCTACCATGCTTATCTTCATGTTTCTTTGCCTTCGTACCCTACTACATGGCTATGCCCTTCTTTTGGCACTGGCATTTGCTCAATGGTAAAAAGCACATGAAAAAGTCACCACTGTTATATGGAGAGTGTTGCCTCAGGCAGCTACTTAGAGATGCTAAGTGCATCTGTCTGCTTATATTCAGAGCTTCAGTAGAAATATTCTCCCCATGACTGAAAGCAAGAAGGTATTAGAGAGAGAGCCTTCTCAAATGGGGGTGTGCCAATGATGGAATACTCTCTCAGGGAGGTCCAGCTGGCAGCTGTTTTATTTTCTTTTTGGTGCCAGGCAAATCCTTATCTATTTTCCCAATACTTCTAGTCACCACTATAGCCCCTGATCATAGTCCCACAGATGGACTCTTGAAGATTTTGCTGCTATTTCATCCATGCATGTTATAACTCTTTATATCTATTTTATTTAAATTGCTTTTTAAATGAAAACCACTCTGAAAACTCCTATTGAAGGCTGGTATGACATTATTGGAAAATAAATAGATAAAACACAGGGGGTGCAGAATGCATCAAGCTGAGGATGTTAGCAGATTGTGCACACTGTCAGTTACAAAGAAAAGACACGGCCCTGTGGTAGGGAAATAGGATTGGATCGATGCCCGATGTCTCTGCAGACAGAACTCCATTACCTGCAGCAAGACTCTGCGCACATCAGCATCATCATGGTCTGCATTCAGTTGGCCCAATAGGAGCTCTGCTGAGAGTCTCTCTCCCACAAAGTTCGTGATCCGGTTGCCATCATAGCCATTGAAGACTCCATAGAGGTAGCAGTTGTTCTCACTCCTGCCAAAGGGGACCAGGGTAGGAAGGGAAGATTAAGAGACCGGCATTTACTGGCGGCTTAAAGTAGAAACTGGCATGCAGTCAGGCTTCTCAAGCAAAAAGGTAAGAGGTGTCCAAATTGGCAGTATGTTGCTGCACCGTTCCACCCAAACTTGCAAGCTACTTACGTGAATTTCAACCAGTTGTCCTCTAAGGGGTGGGCTTCTGTTCCCTTTCCATCTGTAGTGTAGGAACGGTTAGGGGCTGAACCCACACCAGAGAGGTGGCAGAGGGGCAAGTCATCTGTCCAGCTTGATAGCTGCTCCTGGGTAATAAAGGAAAAGTCCCCAATAAACTTCTCCCACCAGATGCGGCAGCATTATTTGATGCCAGTTGAAATCTTATCCTCTGAATTAGGATGCTACAGCAAACTAGTTAATATACACTGATAGATTCCCCTTTCTCACCAGAATCTGAACTGCAGTTGCCATTTTTGGATGATTTTTCCAGTTGTCCTAATAAACATACTGGAATCATACGGATTTCAATTTTTTTCTTATGGCCAACTTGGCTTGTCTTTCATGAAAGAGATTCCTGTTTACATGGGTCTGTTGTTACTGTCACTGGACTTGTATGACCATTCTCCCCTTGTAGGAAACCTATTAGTATATTTGAATCCTTCGTGATCAGGCTAGGGAGGGGCTCCATTCCTTTCTCACATGTGAATGTATGGCATGTCAGCATGGCAATCTTCCAAACAAGTGCAACAACATGTTAGGGAAGCCAAATTTAAAGCAGGATTGCACAAAGGAAAAAAAGCGTGCACAACCCACCAGCCCACTGTGATTCCTTGTTTCCCAGCTGTTTGACAACCCATTGCTTGTCTAGACAAACAGATTTCGGGTGCAATCAAGAATAGCCCCATTATGACTACTTTGTGGAACACAGGGAGGTGAGGTAAAACATAAGCAAAACATATTAAATGTTGAATAAGCACACCCTATGAGGTCTTCTGATACTTAACCAAGCAGACAATTATGCCCTCATTCCTCTTTCATAAAAATATAATCAAAGGAGGAATTATAAGATATATTGTCCTTTCCTGTGCTATTTGCAGAATCCAACTTTGGGACATAAAATGCTCATAGGTGGGGAAAACCCTCTTTTTTGCACATCTCTGCAAAGAATGCAAGCATGAACTGCCTCTCCAAGGGCAACAAACTTGCAGCACACATCTCAGATTGCCAGACCCAAACCCCATCAGGCTGAGAGAAATTTGACTAAGGGAAGTCCATCTGCCCACCCACAGACGCAAAAGTACCATCAGGGGGAAAGAGTTCCTTCTCTGAAACTCTTAAAGCACAACCCCATGCATGTTTAGACAAAGTGGGGGGGGGGAGCCTACAACTCCCAGCATGTCCCCAACAGCCACTCTGTCTTGGGCTTGTTGGGAGTTGTAGGCCTTTGTTTAAACCAGTAGCAAATTGCGCGTTTAGATATGCAACAACACGTTTCAAGACAGGCACGGGCAACTTTACATCCATCCTATCCCAGCTTTCTCTAAGCTGGTGCCCAGCAGATGCTTCTGGCTACAACTTCCTCAGCATTCCGGACCACTGGCAAAACTGGTTTGGGTTGCTCGGAGTTGTTCAAGTCCACAACACCTGATCGCGAAGTAGGAGACGGTTGCCCTATGCATTTCCCGTCAGTGGCGAGTCAAAGGTAACCAGAGAGGCACAGGACAGAGCTCCTGTCTCGGTTGCAATTTTGTAGCAGAGAGAATTCAGGCAGGTGCAGCTTCCCTCACTGCTGCTGCTCGGAAACCACACCTGCCAACATGCCTACTCTTGCGAAAGTACCGTTAAAGGCACAGAGGCCTAGTTTTCCTTGCCTCTGGTCCCCCCACAGCCAAAAATGAAAGCAACACCTCCTTTCTCTTGCTTGCACGCTCCCTACCTATTCCCTGTATCTTATAACAGAGTGTCTTTCCCAAGAGGGCGCGCCGCAGAAAGAAGGGAGGCTCAGAACCCCCGACCCTTCCCTTGAGCCCAGGGGGTGGCATTTTCCTCCCTCCCCCTCACCTACCCCTCCCATGCTCCCCATGGAACAGGCTGGGCTACTTACGCTCTGCAGGAGACTCCTCCTCGCCGCCGCCATGTTTAAGCAGAAGCGGCATCCTCCGCCCTTCCCCTGGCAAGAGATGAAAAAGCGCAGGAAAGGACCAGAGCGCCCGTCGGAAGGAACGTGGGGGTGGGGGGTTACTGGGTCACAGTGCCCCCAGGAGGACGGAGGGAAGCATTGCAGGCTATTGACCGCAATGGGTTCATTGTCAGACGTAAATAGAAAAGAAAAACCAATTGCAGACATTAAAGGTAGATTATACCTGGGCGAGTATATCCGGGGAATCAGTGAGGCGCCCTTCTCGAGGCAGTTCTCGGGAGAGGTGGGGTAGGGATAAGAGAGGCTATGCTATGCGGCATTTTGAAAATACTGCATTTGAGGGAGAGAGAGCGCAGCAGTCTGGAAGACTGCAGTGGGCAGTAATGACAAGTTTCTCCTGCATCTGAAGTGATGATTTCTGAAATCAAAGAAGCTGCCCTCTAGCGGCTCCGACCATTCATTGGTCCGGCTTGTTCAGTCGTGCCTTCTACTTCCAGTAGCAACGGCACGCCAGGGCTTGAGATCAGAGCCTTTATTAGCGATGCCTGTCAGAGATTGAAGTGGGAATGTGTGCATACAAAAACAAGCGCTCTATTCCTAAGCTAAGGATGTGGGTTTTTCCCCATCTTTTGTATTTTAAATAACCGATCGTGTTCGTGCTATTGAAAGGTTCAGTGCTGGTTCAACTGCAAGCGTTAACCCTTCTCTATTCCTTTGGTGGGCTACCTGGTTTTCTATTTTTTAAGCCCTGCATATGCATTTAACTATTCATTGTCTTGTAATTTTAAAACAAACCGCACATTGCTGGAAGGTGAGAAAAGGAGAGCCCACTGTGTGTACCTGGCCATCTATCCCATCCCCATGATATGGAACCTTGTGCAATCTGGGTGCCACATTGGGGGCAGGGACTTTATGCATAGTGCAGGCTCCCCTCTTCAGGCTTTCCCTCTCCATGTGTGGACACGAAGAAGCTGGGCCACACCATAAGAAACGGCAGGAAAGGGGCCAGCAGCTACAGGATTGCCCTTCTGGTAATTGCAACTGCTTAATTTTGAAAGCCCAGACAGACTACTGTGAAAGGTGAATTTTTAAATCTAAAACCACCTGATGGGTTTCTTGATAACATGATGTTATCAAGAAAATGGTACAAAAAGGTCAAGCCAGTCACTGCATACCATATTATGCTTGTGAAATCCTTTTTTCAATGTTAACCAAAGTTCAACTCAGATGAGGAAAAATCTGCTTGGATTACATTCAATGAGGAAACTCGAATTTACTGCTTTAAAAGTAAATGCTGTCTTGTCTTCACCTCTTCTTTGAAATTCTTCTAGGAGTCTATCAATGTCAAGGCCATGATGTCATTCAGAGACTTCCCAGGCCACTTTTATTCAAGCTGGCATGTAAAAAAGCTGCATGATTATTTCAGCTGTTTAACTGCAATGTGTGGTGAATCAGTTGCAATACTCAAATTTTCAAATACAGGTATAATATTTTAATGCCAGATACAAAGCATATAAGACCACCATTACAATTGTTTTGAATGTAATAACTTTATTGATAAGACACACCAGTAGTTACCACCTTCACTTTTTTTAACCACAAATATACAGGACGTCGTAAACACAGGTGCCAAGATGGCAGGATTTATGTTAGTTGGTGAAGGGGACATAGCGGAGGAGAGAGAACAGGTCAGTGGGGGGTAGAGCTTAGAATCAAGTGGACACTATGGGGATCCTTTATGTAGCAGGCCACCTTTTCATTGTCACAAATGTGTGTATGTATAGTTTTAGGTTATACATCTTTCTGTATAATGTATATACTATACACAAGCTGTAATGCTGACGGGTGCAGGGATCCCAGTTTTTTGCCAACGTCCCAGAGGCAGTGAGATTGTCTCAACAAATAATTTGTGTGCATGCATGAGGCAATATGGGCTGACCTGTGAATCCCTAATTGCAAACATGTTCCAGTTTAGATTCCCTAGACCAGACTCCCTCTCCTGGCATCTGAGATTTCATCTGCATGAACAAACAAGGAGTTGGCTGTATCTAATTATCAAGGCTCTCATCTGATTACCACCAAGATGAGAGGAAAAGAAATGCAGTGAATGCAAAGTTAGACCTTACTTTGGCTGTGATAGGAGCTAGAGAAACTGGACTGACAACTGGAGCTGGTACATGCTCGCTTACCTGATTGTGCACCAAAATGGCATTTACTGAGCGATGGGTACGCAAGTGCATGATCTGCCTTCATTCTGTGAGGAGTGTTTAGAAGCCTACAGAAGAGCCATGTATCTTCTGGTCCATCACTCCAAAGACAGCTCTCTAGCTTACAGACCAGGGGATGAACCAAACTCCCGTTTTTTTTTTTTCCTGGCTAAGACTTTTCATTGAGTAGGTCCCAGATTTGATCATCAGCATCTTCAGGAAGGCTGAGGAAATTCCTGCCTGAAACCCTGGAGCACTGCTGCTGATCAATGTCAATAATACTGGTAAGATCATTCAATGCTCCGACCCCATATAAAGCTTCCTGTGTTTCTGTGACTAAAAGCACCCGGCTATCCTGGATTTGGCTTGTGTGGTTCAGAGGTTATACAGGCCTGGCTGATGGTATTGAGAGGGAGCAATCCCACACGCGGGCAGGTTTTTTTAAAGCAATATGTCTGCCTTGCACATGACTTAAGTTCCCTCTATCCAAGTAATTCAGCGGTTACATTCATGCTTGAGAAATGTCATGCAGCATTTTAAGCATAATACAAGCTTTTACTATCACTTTTAAAGCTGTTTTATATTTGACACAACAGCCAAATTGCACCAGTGTTTCTCACTCAGGAAACACGAAGTGTGAAAAGCAAGAGTGCGCTGCTAGCAACATAGGGACATGAGGCAGGAAGCTGTGCTTCGCCAGTTTCCTGAACGCCTATCATGTGCCATGTGGCCTTTTCCAAGCTGGTGTCCTCTGACATGTTGTACTCTCAGCACAGAAGCCTGATGCAATCTGTCCCACACACTTCACCTGTCAACTGTGGGACACACCAGTGTGATCCAGCGTCTCTATGAAGCAATGTGGACATCACATGGTAAAATATTTATGTGCAGTACTACTGCAGTACACCTTCACAGGAGGCAACTGTGTTGCAGCAGCAGGATCAAAGGTCAAAGTAGTGCAACTTCTCAGTAGCCAGAATGTGCCACTTGACCCATGCAATCCTGTGCCCACAAAAGGATGCCTTCTTATAATCCAAAAATGGCTCACAGTGCCAACACAATTACAAATGTGTTTCTTGTAGTATGGACACTCTCCTTGTGTAATTAATACACTAGTGTGATACCCTGAAGCAAAATAGAAAATCTTCTAACAGAAAACATAACAGCTTGGAACTCTTTATGAGATGGAAGAAGAAAGGTAGTGATGAGCCATTATTCAAGAAACATGAGCAAAATGTTTATTCCTCTATGGAAGATTTCCCCTCCAATGGCAGCAATGGCCATTGCACAGTTAGATGTGCCAAAGCTAACTGCAAGCAATTGTCCAACTTACACCTAATCTCTGAGTTGCGGCCATTAACTTTACATGCTCCGCTTTAGTTGTGCGTGGAGTTTTTGCCTAGCTTTGTGAGGGGCACTGTATGCACATGGGTAACATATTAAGAATCCATCCATATGTGACAAGGAAAGGGCATAAAAACAATCCCCATAAGAAGTTGGGGTCCATTCTTTTTGTATACAGTTCCACATAGTCTGACATACCCCAAGGCAGAAGCCAGTTTTAATCTCTGGAAAGAAAACAGAACAAATGTTGAGGAATGAAAAACCTCCCTTTCCACCTCCATGTGAAACCATGCAATTGACACAGAATTTGCAACGCTGGATTTCCCACCCTCCCTACCCTCCAGTCCCACAATTCTCTTTCCCTCCAGGGGGAAGAGATGAAAAGGAAGGACCTCGCCCTGACCTCCGGTATAAAGAAACCCACTGATAATATCCCCACTCACCCACCCACCCACAAGCCTAAATATTAGGCCATCCTAATAGAAGAGGAACTTTTGGGTGGAGAACCTATCCTCTCCACCCCCCAAAGCCCTATATAATATTGCTTTTACTTGGGACCACAAAGCAAGAGACTTAGTTCCTCTTTGTGCTTTATGCAAATAAGAGACTACCACATCTCTCTTCTCACTCGCTGCTAGCCACACACTGTACATAGTGAATCTCAGCAAAGAAGGTGCCATTGGAAAGGATGGAGAAGTAATTCCACATATATACACAAGCATGCAGACTGCGTATCAGGGCAACGCCTGATACCACTACAGCAGTTCCTCTGCCCCTTTACTTCTTGCTAGAAGCCCCAAGCATCCCATTTTGCAGTTAAAGTATATGTGGGGAGAAATGCAGGTGTTCAATTTCTTAAAGGAAGGGCTCCCTCTTCATGGGAAGCCTGTATGCCAAACTGAGCTGATTTCACAGCATCCTTTTGCACAAAGACTTATTTCAAATCTTCAGTTTCCCTACTCTCATTTTAAAATGTATATAGCAAAGCAACTTCCAATTGGACAAGTGAACGTATTGCTGTAAAGGTCAGCTGAACGGACATTTAGTAAGGTCAAAATTGTTGGAACTTTGTAAAAGGCAGGGACACGTGCCTAATTCTTTCAGCAGTACAAAGATGTGCATTAGGTTTCTTTTCACACAGGTGGGGAAGTGTATTGCTGGAAATGGCTTGGCGTATTAGGGCTGATCACTGCCTCTTCACTCTTGAGGTTTGTACTCTGCCATTTCTTGGCTCTGGACAGTTGGTGTTCTGTTCTTCTGACTGTGAGCACCACACTTTAAGGCTCCAAGTAAGTTGTATTTCGGCCCTGTTAAATCTTAAGTGTTCTATGCTTACCTCTATGAGGGAACTGGACTTGCTGAACTAAGGAATGTTTGCAGTGGACTGGAGGGATGGGTTGTCACAATAACACATAAATCAATATGAGTTTATGAACTGGATCTGACCAAATGCTTATCACTGGGATATGTTACAACTAGAAGCAGAAGAGCATTTCTACAAAAGGGTGATGATCAATGTCCAAAGAACTAATTGATGTTTGGTAGCTTTTCTGCAATGTGAACAGTATGCAGCTCTGAGCAGACTGAAGTACTCTTTTGTCCGTTCTGACTTGTGTTCCTCTACCATGATGGTAAACATTAACCCAAGGACAGGATAGAATCTTTACGGAGCCCTTTCATGCTTTCTCTGTAGTTTTCTTTGTGCTTTCTTTACCTCTCCCAGCCATTTTGAAATGGTCATGAAGGCTTAAGATCAGGTAAACTGCATGCATGCATAATAATACAGATTGACTTGATCTTGTCAAGTCTAGGCTTTTACTTAACTAACCCAACAAACTTTCTTTTCTCCCAGCATAGCCAAGTTGTAGCTGTAGTTTGTTCTTAAGCACAAAGATGGTAGGTGGGGACTTTGTGTGCCAAATTATCTGTTTAGCACTACAGCAAAATAAGGTTCTGTTTCATTCCTGCAAAGTCACAGAATATATCCAGGGGAACAGAGTTCTCCCTGTCCTGTCCCACTTGGCAAAAGTCATGGTAGTCACGAGGCCAAAGGGCAATATCTCCCCAACAAGCCAGTCCCATGAATTCTCCATTGTGCTATTGCGTACCAAAAGGGCTGAGCCTCCACATGGCAAGTTAAGAAGCAGTGGAATTTTGCTTTATTATTAATGTGGCACATGCTAATGTGGCTCCACAGAAAGGTTACTGCATGTTTGCTAATGCCATGAATGTGACTTATAGGGAGTTTTTGATTCTGGCACCACTCTTTAGGAATTCATTTACATGTATGTGTGAAAACATCTCCAGTCAGAATCCCATACGCACATTTTCTCAGAAATCCGTCCCACTGCAGTGACTGGGGCTTACTTCTGAGTAAACCTGCAGTAGATCAGGCTGACCTAGACCTGTAACTTATTCCTGGGAAACCATTCCAATTATTGCCTCCTTTTCACTATTATTTCAACTCAGGAAAATGAGCTCCATAGAAACAAAGAGCAACAGATAGCTTTTGAGGACAGAGTTTGCCTAATGCACTAGGATATAGCCATAGTAATTTTGTTCAACGATGGCTTGATTCAGAGTCAGGATGGGTTAATGTTTTCAGGGGGATTTTCAGACCACTGTTGGCAGCAGATGGCCATTTCCCCAACTTAACTCTGTTGTCCACAAGTTATTCCTGGAAGGTATTAGCTGGAAATCTGAATCAGAAGAGAATGAATGATTTTGGTCCTGGGGCTGCCATTCTATGTCATTCCAGTCCAACACTGATAAGCCAGGATCAGGATTCACAAACCAAAATTTACTGGGGGAAATGTCATCACACAAAATAATCAACCCTAGACTGGGACAGAAAGTGTTCCCACATGCTTCCAACATACATGCTTTCAACACCTTTCCCCCATTCATATATATATGAATATATATAAATTAAAACAACATAAATTTGCCACATGGCTTTGCTGAAAAACGGGTAAAGATTACATGCATCCCCCAGGGTCAAGAGCTGTCTCGGACCCAAAACAAATGCTCACACCCAGTTTGCCTGTACTTTATCCACTGGCAGTACCTTTCACTTGCATTTTGCCCTTGATGAAGCAGGTCAGCAAGACTTCTGCCAGGGGTTCAAACTAGAGATGGCCACTCCAATCAACTCTCCAAAAGGCAAGCTGAGGAAAAGAACACCCAACTACAATCTAAGATTGTGGTGGGCCCCAGCCACAGTCAATTTCCAACAGGCAAAATGCAGACAAAAGGTAAAGGAAACTAGACTAAAAAGTAGTCCAGCATGGTCAAAATGTTCACGACAATGTTCATGCCAGTCATGTTCACATCAGATCAATGTTTGCTTTGGCCCAGTACTGCCAACCCTGGCAAGACTGGCTGTGCGTCTTAAGCCGACCTCCATGGTCTCAGTTAAAGGATTTCAAAGCTATCTGAGATCTATTTGCACACCACAGACGCCTTCCTGGTGCCATGCATGTCACCCACTCTTGCATGCCCGCATGCTCGCTCACCCACACCCCTCACTGTGTTCGCTCTCGTCCTCCCAGGTTCTGCCCTCCCTTCTTGCTGCAGAAACGGCAGCCTTTGGCTCCATCTCACCTAGTCACCCTCACCTGTCCGACAGCTTGCCTTTCATCACCAAAGCCATCTTGAGGTCCTTTCCCTCTTCCCCCTATGGAGAGCGCAAGCTGGATTCCTGCCCGCAGCAGCTCCCCAAGGACAGAGAACGCAGTCTCACCACAACATGGACAGTAGAATGTTTTGCAATCAACAATTTGGTTTTGGATGAGTATTCAGAAGAGGGCAGAGGTGGTGTTGGGATTTTTTGTTTAAAAAATAAGAAATAAAAACAGAGACCCTAGAAGGCTGGAGAGTGGCTGAGAGCCACCCGTTGCTCTGGAACACACGTGTCTGTTTTGCACCTTGGTTTGTTGGTGGCAGAGGGGAACGGGTGAGGGGGGAGGGAAGGGATCCACCAGCTCTCAGTAGTCCTGTGCTTGGTACCCCTGTGTCTCAGCATCAAACGCATCTGCTGAAGGGGGCTGTTGGTACGTCCCCATGCTATCTGCAGTGTCATCCTCATTTGTGTAGGGTGCGTAAGGCATGCCGGCCTCCTGGCTTGGGTCCGTGTAGTCCTGGGAGAAGAGGGCTGAATCGGCTCCAAGTTGGTAACGCTGATATGCCAGGAATGACTGACCCACCTTTAAGGGAGGATGCAGCAGCGTAGGTGAGTTTTGGGAGAATGGGAAGGAGGAAGACATGGGGAAAAGAGAGGGGGGAAACATACCAAGGAAAAACAAACAGAAGCCAGGTTAGTAGCATTTAGTGCACAAGGCTTAAATTAGTGTGTGAGACATACTGGAATTGACAAGTTAAATGTAAACACATTCTGCAAACAGCAGAAGGAGTCAGTGCACCCCACAGAGAGAACAAGTTGAGATAAGAAGCTACAGAGTGATCAGGAACAAGTGGGACAAAACACTAATTCCAAGGAGAGACCTACTATGGTTCTATAGCCTAATGCTTTGAGAAACTGCTGGCAGAAACAAGCAGTTTCCATGCAGAAACAAGCATGGTCCAATTCACCATGCAAAACAAGGGGCCTGCTCTGGGGATCAGATGTGTTCATTCAGCATATCCAAGCCTCCTTAGCCCAGGCACACCAAGGGCTTCAGCCTGGGTCAGTCTCCTCATTCATGTGGATGGCAGGAGCAAGAACAGGGTCAATGCAGGACAGGATGACTTTGCACTGCTGATATTGGGACCACCACCAGCAGCAGAATAATGTCAACCTTTCTCAGGACGTGCCCTGCACTTGCAGATGCCTCTGTAGCAGCTGTGGGTGACTGAGCATAGGCTGAGAAGGCAGAGCACCATCTTCAATGCACAAGATGGAGAAAAGCAGTGGTTGAGAGAAGCTCAACCTCCACACAAAAGTTTTTACTTGTGTGATGCTCTTTGGTAATACTAGGCCAGAGAAAGGCCAAGGGAGGTTCAAGGACTGCAGTTTTTCAGCTGCTTTCCAACCTATTAGCTTGTGAATTGTGCCAAAGGAAGAATAAACCAAGAGGACACAAGGATGAGAGGAAGCAGGAAATGCATTTTGACAATTGTGGTGTGGTTAAGTGGCTGAAAGAAAGGCACATCAGTGTTATTTGGCATTAGTTTGGGTGAGGGGTCAGGAGAGCACAAAGGACTGAGGCACCAGAGGACTGAATAATACACTTTCTATTTTGCAACTATTTGGGGCTAAAGGGTGGGTGAAGGGGAGCCTTCCAAAACAGTGAAGAAGGCAGGTGTCCTCCTCACCACCACATCGGCTGCACAAGAATCCTATCTTATCTTCCCTCCTGCCCCTGAGCTGGAGAATCAGAAATACTTCCACTTCCAAAATTTCCTCCCTGATATGCCCAGTTTTCATGAGTACTGGAATTAAGGGAGCACTGGTGGAGAACTGGGGAACAGTGTGTTGTATTCTTCCTGAAAAGTAATTTCTCCAAGTCTCCGAAAGCCCAGATATGTCAGGAAGACCTGTAAGGAGAGAAGAGGATGGAATGTGGGGCATTAGAGAACAGTCAGTCTGGGAAAGATCTGCACGGCCATAATAAATAAATCAAAGGAGGTGGGTCTCTCATATCATTAGGCAGAGAGGAGAGAACTGGGGCGCTATCAGAGATCCTCCCTGCTTTTTACAAAATGCCAAAATATTTACAAGATGGTAAATCTTTCTGCAATTAGTCCCTGGTCTCTGCTCTAGCTAAGCAGGACCAATATAGGGCAGAGTTTAGAATGGGGTGGGTAACACATGGCTTGTGGGATGCATGTGCCCCATTACTTCCTTAGTGCAGCCCCATCAGGTTGAGTTTTGCTGTTACCAAGCTCTGTGTTACCTGTAAAAAGAGGATCAAATTTCACCCTTTCTTCATGTGGTGCCCAACTGAGAGTGACCCCCAAAGGGTTGAGAGATAAAAATGACCCACTCATTGTAGTCGCTCACCCCAGAATTAGAAGCTGACTGATGAAAAGGTAATAAGGAAGCCAAAAACATGAAAGCAAGGCAACTGGAGCATGGAGAGTGTCACTGAGAGTACTGGAAAAGAAGGAGAAGAGTGCTTCAACTGCCAAGGAAATCCTGCAGTTTTGTAACTGGATAAAATATAAATGAGCTACAGCTGCCAGATCAGGAAGTAGTGAAGACAGTGGAACGCATCCTATGCCAAAAAGCCCACCTTTGGTTCACTGAGACAGTTCAGGCAGCCTGGGGTTGTTCATCTCTGCTTCCTGTTCTTCTTTTTTCAAAGGTGTATCCCGCCCCAGTTGAGTATTATACGTACATGTGTACAGAGTTCAACATACACCTACAAATGAGTCTAGATGGCTTTTTCCTGTAGGCCACGTGGGAACACTGCAGGGTGGCTATTCCTTTGGTGTGCTTCCCAGTTCTGACAAAAAGGTAACATATAAAGCAAAGGAAAACAGCCATTCGAGATCAGTGTTTGTTATGCAGTACTGTCAAGGAATGCTGGGCTTTGGGAGACTGGGTTCCCTTTTCAAACCACCCTCAGCCATTTTGGTATTATACAATTTTTATTGGGTTTTGTTTTCATAAGCCATCAACTTCATAGCCAAATAAGGGGCAAATTAAAATAAATTAAATTGAATTAAGACCTACAAATGTACAATAGATGGGTGTAACACTAGCTGCAGTTAATTATATGTTACTTCTGATGCTTTATAGAGAAACAATATATAAGCTATATACATGTATAAAACACTAACCAGAAGTGTTAGCTACTATATCACCAGATTTGGTCATTTTTAATAAGGCCCCCAAGACAATTCTACATGATTACGAATTTTAGCAGTTTTGTTATGTTCATCAGTGAAAACATGTTTGCTTTCTAAGCTATTAAAGATAGCTATTAAAGTTTATTTAAGCTATTAAAGATAACAAGAAACCATGACAAGTTCATTAAAAGGTTTTGTGCGGGAGACACAGTTCTGACTTTGTAGGAGATTTTTTTCTGAATCCACAGGTGGCTTTTTTCTGGAATGACAGGGCACAATTCCAGGGTGTTGAGCACTTATTTAGGTACAGGTATGCCACAAAAAATAGGACTGCAGGAAAGTGAGAAGCCTCACCCACCATGAATACATCTAATCCCTTTTCAAAATTGCCCTAGCCCCAGGCCATTACTGCATCCATGCACTGTGAGAAGAAGTACTTCCCTTTAAACATCCCACCATTCAAATTAATTGGATGAGCCCAGGTTCGAGATACAAAAGTAATAGAACACAAGCAGAGTTGAAAGGGGCATATAAGGCCATTGAATCCAACCCCCTGCTCCTCTTCCATAGGTGGTCATCCATCCAGCTGCAGGCCTATGCCTCTCCATCTTAGCAAAGGTGATGCAACATGCTAGCTATGCAGGTGGGCTAAATATTTTTCATCTGAGAGTGCAACTTCATGCTCCCAGACTATTTAGGCAGTCCTCCCCAGTCTGCTGGCCCAACCAGCATGCCATCACTGGTGAAGGTCACCTTGTTCTCCCTGGACTTGTGTGCAACTGCCAACTGGGGGCATCCAGACACTGGGGCTGTGCAGCTTGGACAAGGCCACACAGGTGGCCAGGTGCATAACCCCATCAGCCACACTCTTAGGGTACTCTCAGCTGAACCTCTCCTGGGAGCACACAGCAGGGATCAAACTCATGCCTGCTACCCTCACACGCATGAGCCTTACCTACCGTGCTCCACAGTTGGTAGAATGGAGGAAAATACCTCTATCATGTCTTCCCTTATTCACTTTCTTTCTAAGCTAAACACCCCTCATTGTAACCCTTCTTTAAAGGACAGTTGATCCAGCCCCATGATCATCTGGGTTGCTCTCATCTTCACAGTGCCTCTTCTAAGCTACTGCTGCAGACACAGGAACAATGTCCTATATAGCAGCCAATTCCTTCCCTTCATCATTGCTATGCTGGGGGCAACCCTCCAAGAAGTACGGAGCAAGAAGTAGGGCTAGGGAGGATTCAGATTCTGAGTACCACAGCCTGGGGAAATTCGTAGCACCCTACTGCAGCAGTGGCTTTGGCCTGTTACGTCCTCCCAACCTTCATGGCAGCCTTCCACAATAGGTGTCCCACAGGTGCATTAGACTACAACTTCCATCAACAGTAGTCATGCTGGCTGGGGATGGTGGAAATCATAGTCCAACACATCTGGAAAACACTAGGCTGGGTAATGCTACTTCACAAATGTAGTCCTGTAGGTTTCAGAAGCTGTGTAAATGGTAAAGGACAAGGGCATCCCTCTTCCTTGCCAGGATGGGGTTGAGTTCCTGTGTGGCAATGCTATCTTCATTAGGGAAGCCCTCATTTAAAGTGATACAAAGAGATATGAAAAGGATAAAATGTTTGGATTACATAACAGTAAAACTGACTGTCAAATCATTGTGTGTTTGTTTTTCTTCTGTAGACCAGCTGTTTATTTGGACCCATGAGATGACATTCTGGTCAGTGGCAGAGCAGGCAACAAGCAGGGGGCAGGAGCTGCACTGCATATAACAGAACTAGAAGCCGAGGCAACAGGAGAATCCATAGATGGCCTCCATTATTATTACCATGGGTCCAAGGCTAGATTACTTACCCAGGTGAAGATGGAGAAAAAGGAGAATGCAATGGCTGCTCGGGCTGCATCTGCTCCTTCATTCAGCGGGTTGTCTTCCTTCTTTGAAACACGCCATTGGTCAGCCAGGAAACAAAAACTGACAAACCAGAGAAAAGCCCAGAAGCCTGAGAGAGACCAACATCAAAACAAGAGGAAAGGACAGAGGTGAGGGGTGTACAAAGTACACATATGTATTTTAGTTCTCACACTTCTCCAGAAAATTCAGCCTTATGGGATCACCAAGTATTTCGCAGACTAGCAAATTCCAATTGTGCAGCTCATTGCAAGAACCTATAAGCTGGAACCTTTAGGTGAAATGATAAATATGATATTCCAGACCTTGTGTTTCTCTCAGCACACTAACTTGGAAACTGGGAGGAATTTAAAGGGGAGAAATGGTTGGTGGGTGTGTCTTCTCCCCATCTTCTAGAGGCTAAAACCATGCCGGCTATTTTTAGCTTCTCTTCTGCAGTTGGGGGTCCAAGTTCTCCTCTTCAAATGTTCCCCTCCACCTCTGAAAACTGGTAGAGACCATGTGCGGTTCTGCCTTAAGTGAAGCAGAACTAACATGTATGAAATAGTAAGGGAAGCCAGTTTCATCAGCATTGGAACTATTGCATTCATCACAGCTGGTAGAGCCAGTACATAAGGGAGGTCTACTGAGCATCCCAATAGTAGTGCCACTTGCTCATTAATTCCCGAAATACAGCCTCCCTGCAAAACTGAGCCATGGAAGGAGACTTTGTCTTGGAATGGGAATGGAAAAGGCAGAAGGAGGGTAAAAGTCTCCAAAATCAATTGCAGAAGAACTCTCTAATCTGCAAAAAATAGTCACTGGAATCTTGGCAAACTCTAAGGCAGCCTTCCCCAACCAGGTAACCTCCAGCAGTGTTCATGCACAATGCCTTTTCAGTGGTAGCCCCCTCTTCTAGTTATGGAATAAGCTGCCTACTGAGGCTCCCCTGGTGCCAACTTTAATATCTTTTGAGCACCAGGTTAAGACTGTCCTCTAACCCAGGGCATTTAATTTTTTTACTATTCTGCAGGGGCTGTATTAGCTGCTTAAACAGGTCTTATGATTTAATTTATATGAACTATTACAGTTTTTATATTTATTTCACAAATTGTTTTTAAATTTTGTATTGTAACCTTCTATGGTTTTACTGCTATCTGTATTTTCTGTTGCATTGCATGTGCTGTTGTAACCTTCCCAGTGAGCTTCAGCTATGATAGCGCAGAAATGTTGTTGTTGTTACTACTATTATTAATATTGCAGTAGTAGTAGTAGTAATTAATCACCACCACCAGATATTTTTGAAAGGCCCTAGAATGACCTGTGCTTCATACTGCGTGGAAAATTTGAGTTTCATGTACACTGGGAATGCAGAGAACAGTAACATGAGAGTTGTAACAGAGAAAAGAAGGGGATACTTCTATTCAAGTACTACAGGAAGAAGAGAGGTCTATGTGGGAGAAGACAGATATCGGCAATGTTCATATGTCACTCTAAACCATAATGTACTGCCCTATGCATGCACAGAAACAAGAAAGAAGCTTGCATGTAGTCTTGGGTTCTCATGCTCACCCCTCCTCCTAAGTGATCAGAAAGAGAAGGAATAAGCCAAAATTTAGCTTCACCTTAGCAATTACCTGGCATGTTGTTACCTGTGGACTAAAAATGAAGTTTCAAGTAAACAATAAAGTTTAATTACACACACACACCAAAAAAAAAAAAAAAAAAACCCGACAACAGAAAAACAACCCATGGTTTGCTGCTGCCTTGTTCCATATGCTGGATGTCATAGTCCAAGCATCTGCTAAACTGAAACTGAATTTGGTTTATTCCTCTCCCTAGTTTCAGGAAAGACTGAAAGCAGAATATGCAACCTAAACACTATTCACAGTGTTAAACTATGAATAAATAGTATACAAGAATGCCACCAGTGTATTTTTAAAACTCCTGAAGGAAGTTCAGAAAAAGGATTCTGCTTACACTATATATAATCATCCCAGTTTTACCTCTAGTAAATGAGTTTTGAATTGTTCCAAAAAGGTGCAAGACCTGTTTCACTAAAAACATCAGGGCAAAAGAAATATGCAGCTCAGGAAGCAAAACCTCTCTCAAATCACAGGAATTCATTACCAATTTGCTTGAAACCTATTTTCTGCCTCCAGACTTACAATGGCCAATGTACCATTAGTGCAATAAACCTCACTAGTGGAAGTAAAGATGCACCCACATTTATGTATTCATTTTTATACTGCCCTGAGAAAGCCAACAGTTTTGGGTGGAGGAACTTGACCTGGTGGCTTGTGGAGACATGAAGAATTAAATTGCCCCTAAATTCCACCTGACCTTGGGCAGCGGCAGCAGCATCAGTACCAAGCAGGGGCAGAGGCAAGGGATGTCTATGGGGTTCCAGTATGGAGAACTGCAGGTGAAAAGGTAGCCAGCATAATCAGCCATAGTGCTGTAATATAGCAGGCCATGGAAAACCACCACATTATACCCATCATGGCTAAACACATATCTAAAGATTGTCCAGCCATGATGATGCCCAACTTCAAGCAAAAGATTGTCCTTCTTCAAAACTGTTTCCTAATCTGGTTATCCGCCATCTTCCTGAGGGTTGCATCCCTCACTGCATTTTAACAGACATAAACATATTTTTGCAGCACACATTTTCTTTAAAAGGACATAGGGTGAACAACACGAGAGAACATTCCTTTGTCATAAATATGCATAAGAAAGCACCTCAAATGGAGCTAGATATTTTTGGAACAGTAACTACATCAGTCTCTTACAGCAAATAATGACAGCCTTGTGGCAACTTAAATTATGGTGTGGTTTCATGGACCAGAGACCACAACATGAAATGCTTGAAGCATTATCTTCAACTGCCAGGTGTTTCTATAAGCAAGGAGTACAGAAAAAGGCATAGATCAGGGTGTTTGCCATTCTATATTGCACATAGCCTGCTATTCTAAGCATAATCTAGCTCTTGAGAGCATTTAAAGCACTTTGCACCCACTATGTCAGTTATCCTTACAACAGCCCTGTAAGGTAGCACAGCAGTGTTACTCTCTTCACATTTGCAGATGGGGGTGAGGTCAAGAGAGAACAGCTTGCCTAGGGCCACTCTGGATGGGAAAAGATTTAAACTGGAAACTCCCTAGTTCACAGTGCAGCCTGAGCCATGCCACTCTACTAGCTCCCAGGCAAGCACAATCCCCTGGAAGTCATGCTGAAATCAGAGGCACTTACTTCCACGTAAGCATGGCTAGGGAAGACTGGGCTGTTATCCAAATTCTGCTTCCTTCTATTTATTTTTGTTCTATTAAAGTGCATTTACATCCTGCTTTTTTCCCTCCAGGGAACCCAAGGCAGCTTATATAATCTTCCTGCTCTCTATATTCTCTTCTCAACAATACTGTGAGGTAGGTTAGGCTAAGAGTCAGTGACTGGCTCAAAGGTAACTGGAAAGGGAGGACTAGAACCTGTACCTCTCAAGGCCCAGTTTAACACTCTAGCCACTACACCACAAGACTCTCAGCTTTCACTGGCTATTACTATTCACTTCATCATAGTTCTTACTAATATAGTGTTCCCTGGCTATATGATGTCTGGCTGCTCTACAGAATTTGCAAAAAGGGAAGAGAACTCACCTTAGGTAACTTGTAGACATGATTACAAAACCAAGAAGAGGGAAGTGAATGAACATTGAGCCAATGTCCTTCACATGCTGTTCTGGTCTGTGCTGACGTCATTAACATCAGGAGAGATGTGTCTAGAATGTACACTTTGGTGCAAAAGAATCAGCTCCTTTGAATGAAGATGCTGCTTTTAGAATGAGTGGATGACTTACTTCTAGGATTGCAGTGGGCACATTATGAAAGAGAATGCATGTGGCCTGCCATAGCTATGAAATTAACTGAAAAGGCACATATATTTCATTAAAGGCACTACTGAGACCCAAGCACATCCTATAAATCAGCCCTGTGCCTGAAAAGTCATAGGGAAAGATATACAACATTATCTTCCTCTCTGAGAAATATTTAAGAGCTGCAAAACTGCCTCTACTTTCTTGTAAAATCTAAGTTTCTTTCACTGTGTTATTCATTGTTTGTTGAACCTTCCAGATTCTCAAGAGTGCATTAAAGTTTACTTTCCCTTTCTTAACTTGTGCTTTTTTAAAGATCCTGACTATTCACTGAATATGTTTTTCAGTTATGAAATTATGATGGTTATACTCAACTTTATATAGTGGTTCCTTGGCTCACGAACTTAATCCGTTCCAGGACTCTGGTCATGACCCAAATTGGTCCTGAGCCAAGTCAAATTTCCCAATAAGGGTCAGTGTAAATAAGGTTAATCCGTTCTGCAACTATTTTTTTACTCACAAAAATTTGAAGCAAAGTGACAAAGAACAACAAAGATCATGGCCACCCCCCAATCTCAACAATCGTGTGGGGGGCGGGGGGAGATGGGCGCAATTGTGGGCATGCTGGGGGAGGTGGGCAGGGAGGCAGACGCGGGTGCATGGGGGTGAGGTGGGCGCAGGCATGCTTGGGCAGGGAACACGGGCGCAATCGTGGCCATCTCCCCCCACCCAGCACGACCGTGATTGCGCCCATGTAGGGAAGGCAGGCACACCTGTGACTGTCACCCGATGCAGAGTTCACGACCTACAGCAAATTTTTTATGAAATTTCTGTTTGCGACCCAATTTGGTCGTGAACTGAGGCGTTCGTGAGCAGAGGGACCACTGTACTCTTGCTTTAAAAAGAAATGCAAAATCATCACATAAATGTGTGACTCAAAATTGAGATTTTAAAGTAAACATTCTAAATATTTGCCCGTTGGACTTGGAACTTACGTATTCAGAAGCTGTTCCAAATGGGAAGAAAAAGGATAAATAAAAATAAGGAGTAGAACCACTTTGCAATAAGCCTACTTGGTATGGAAAATGGCTACTCTTAGAACAAATGGATCCAGTGATCAACAATTGGAATTTGCACTGCCAAGGCAGCTTTGGGAGTCTGAGATTTGTCAGCAGATGCATTTACAGGCCTCTAATTTAATGATGGTTGGTTTGGTCAATATACGAAGTGGTTACCTGAGGACTAAGTTGCTAGAGCAAACTCCCTCTGCAGCCTATCAAGTGCTTGCATTTCGAAATGGATTTTAGAATTCAACAGGGTCATAATTCTAAAAGCAGAGTAATCTGACTTACACTCCAAATCCCACTCTAGAGTTTGAAAATGCTAAATCTATTGTCTTGATTGCTTAAAACTATTTCAGACCCACTTGGTCTGCTTGGATGAGCACTGAGTATAAAAGAAGCCACTGTGCTGTTTCATCCTCAGTGCCTGCTAACACATGCAGGACATGATTTGTCCAATTACCCACCCAAACACATTTTGTTGTGCTTCCTGAATAACAGGTCATGGATTATTTGCAGGTTGCTTTTCCCTCCAGGAAGCCACAGTGCTTGGCTTCAGACAGCACAACAAGCTGCACCTGGGTAATGAATATGTAACTCTCATTCCACACATGCCATTAAGCACTAGTTTAACCTTTGGTGATCATGTGAACCAGGTCAGTGTGGTGCAGCAGAAAAGGAACTGCACTTAGACATGGAGACCCAACTTCTAATCCCTGCTAAACCACCTTCTTACTGAGTGACCCTGGCTCAGTCACCCCCTCTTCAACCTAGCCTACCCCTTAAGAATTGCAGGGATAGAAATGGAGAATTTTGAGCTCCTTGGAGGACAAGCAGGATAAGCATATAATAAATATTTACAAGGCTGATCTAGAATCTCCAATGCCAAACATCTAATCAAAGACTATGGAAGATACACTGTCAATGGCTATTATTCCTGATGGTGCTATGCCACCTCCACTATCAAAGGCAGTATGCCTACGGACACCAGTTGCTGGGGAACTTAGGCAGAAGGGTGCTGCTGCAGTCACAGCCGGAATGCAAGAGCCAGTGGACAACTGTTTGGCCACTGGGTGAACAGAATGCTAGATGGGCCTTTTGTCTGATGCAACATGGTGGTTCTTACATTCTGAAGGCTGCAACTATGAGTTTACTGTGCAGGGCTTGACCTCAACTGAATTTATGTTTTACAAGCAAGTAAATAGAACAAATATTAATCAACACTTATTGAGACCTTGAAGAGTAATGCTGCCTTGTAGAAGATATATAAGATATAGACTAGAATATGACTTCCCCTGGCAAAGAGCAGAGAAAATAGTATTCATTATTACCCTTTTTACTAAAAGATTTAATGTTAACAGGGAAGCAAATGGGGCTATTTTTGAGGAAACTCTTGTTTACCCTTCAAAAGTAGAAGCAAGCATTTGACAGTATGCTTTCCAAGGCATATAAGAGTATTTTGTTATCAGTGACTCTATGAAAAAGATAACTTTCTGGGAGGAGATGCAGGAAGCTAAATGCCTGAAACTTGACCTGCAACCTAAAGAGATCCTGTGCAGTTTGTTTTCTAACACAGCTGAATTTGAATTAATTTAAATGTGTCCATGTAGCTGAAGCCTGTATTAACCTGGAATTTACCCTTACTGCCCATTCAGTTGAAACCAGGTGAGATTAGATTAGTTATGTCTGACACCTGGTGTGGGATAGCTCCCCTCAGGGGAATGGGTTCAATAAATCCCCTCCCTCAGGGATGCCAGCAAGCATGGCTTCACTTAGATGAGGTGAGCACAAAACATCCAACTCTTGCAAGTATGTATGTTTACTTGAAGACTTTGCTATATCAAATTAAGGACTATTTCAGCCAGCTCAGAACTGGGTGCATTTGCCAGTTTATAATAACAGTAAATCAAATAGTCTCGATTAGCTGCCTTTTCAGAACCTAAGATCAGTTGCCTGGTGTGGCAGCTTCATTCTTAAGACTGGGCTTGAGTTTTTCTACTTCTATGTTACTAATAGGCTATGACTATATTACTCCTTTCTTCTGACTTACATTTATTTTCTGAAATTCAAAACAGTGGGATTCATGGGACTTTGCCCACCTCTTAATATGGAAATCATCCAACCTCTATAGTTTTATGCTTTGAAAGACTTTTGTGTGCATATGTGGTAGAGGAGAGGCAGAAAGGCTACGAGTTGGGGCAGCTTTGGCAGGGCTTGCAAATGGCTTTCCAGGGAAACCTGTGGTCCTGTATTTTCATCAGTAGTTCTTCGCTAAGATCTGCCAAGACAGACCGGTTTCTCTGACAGACAGATCACCCACCAGTAATCCTGCTACATGCAGCCAGAAGGAAGCTTTATGGGTTCTTTTTTGTGTCACTCAGCCCATGTGGAGCAGTTGCGCTGCCAAACAGACCTGCCCTGTGGGAACCAAGGAGGACCTTAGAATGGGCCTATTGCCAGCACCTGACCTCCTTGGGCAGTTGCCGAGGCCCTAGGACCCTGGCACAGCTCACAGCTGATGCCCACCTTGGGTTTCCTTTAAACAATTTTCTTTGAGCCGGAGAACCCTCAGAAACAAATTTCTGGTAGAGACAACAGTGTGGAATCAGTTCCCTGATGGCAGAACATGCCCAAACAAGTAGACTGTTGAATTATATACAGCCAAACCCTATCTTGTGGGCATTTGCCTTCTTGTCAGAATCACCTGTTCAGACTTGTGACTAATGCTTACAGAGACAGAGAATGATCAAATTTATCACATGAAAATGACTTTGAATCCAAACTTACAGCCTTCCCCAACCTGATGTCTTCCAGATTTTTACATTACAACTCTCAAGATTCCCAACCCCCTGGCCATGCTGGCTGGAGCTGATGGTAATTTGAGTCCAAAACATCTTGAAAGCACCAGGTTGAAGAAGTCGGAAGTAGACCAATTGGAGTCAATGAGATTTAAGCTGGTCGTGATTCATTTAAGTCACACTGATGACTGAGTACACCCAAATTTGCACTGCAACCCAGACTGAAAAAGAGTTAAATGACGAAAACATAGCAGGGCAGAAGAAATTACAATGAGACTAGTGGAAGGAGGGAGGGAGAGAATATGAAGGCTAGCATACAGTGAATGATATGGTACAAGCACAAGGATTTTCCTCATGACTCCACAACCCTCCAGCTCAAACTATCAGGCGCACATAGGCTGTGCAAAATGCTTGCAGTGGTTTTCCGTTCCACTCCAAAGCACTTGGCTGCTGTTCTAGAGAATATTCCCTGTGTGGAATATGAGTTCTATCATAGCCCTGGGCTGATGATGGCCTCCAAGTTCCCTACAACACCCCACTTTAATTTTAGTTTGGCTCTCTTGGTTCACAGGAAGCAGGAAATGTGAGCTGCTGTGAGTGTTGGTCTTGCAAAGTTTTAGAAAGCACTGGGAAGAAGAGTGGTTTGCAAGGGTTTGAATATGGTGTATTTGAACTGGGCTTGAGAGGTTTCTCTACTGGTTAGAAAAGTTAATCAGCAATCAGGCTGATACACAAGTTCTGCCACTCTGCCTATCTCATCTCTTTGTATATAGAAGGTGGAACGTAGCTGCTTCCATTTTGTCCAAGAGCTCTTACACAACACTCACCATCTCTTGAAAGGAAAAAATAAATAAGGGGTGCTGGTGATTGCAAAGTCTTTTGGGCTCCTCCTCTGGGTGCTTCTGGATGGAGGGCACCTAGCACTACCAATCAAAACACAAGCAAGCTCTCTCTGCCAGGACTGCCCCTGCCCCTGCCTGCCGTTTTGGGCTGGTGGCAGCAATGGGGAAGAGGGTCCTCCTGCCACTGCAGTCTGCCCTTTGGTGATAGGAGATTCCCCTTGCTTTTCGTGGTTTCCTCAAGAGTTGGCTCAAATGATTGACACTCCCCTCTTACCACGCCCCCCTCCATACACCATCAAGTAGTGACAGGGAGGGGGAACCTTTGGAGTGCCCACAGAAATAGAGAAGATGTGGGAAGGAGGCATACAACCCTTAAAGTGCCTGCTCATCTGTCTGGCACACTGGGGTGGGTCATATGCTGCGCCATGCAGCTCTTGACACAGCATGGCTCACGGTGTTGTGCAAATCTTCCCAATTGCTTCACCTAGCCTAGTATTGTTTCCTTCAACTGTTTCCTCTAAGAGATCCTTTTAGCTGGAATTGCTGGAGACTGAAATGTGAACATGCAACATGTGTTCTACCCCTGAACTGTAGGGTTCTTCCCCAAACAAGACTTGGTAAAAGAATAACATGGTGAAAATGGTGGCACCATAGAAATCTAAGGGGGGAAAGGGAGCAAAGAGGATGGTCAAATGGTAGAGAAAGAGGTACTTCCTATTGCAGTGGCTCATCAGTTAATTGATAAAATATCAATTGTGAAAATATCAATATGAAACCTGAGCAACACACTCCCGTGCATGATGAAGTAGTATTTGTGCAATGGAACTTGCTCCCATGTAAGTGTGCACAGGACTGCAGCCTCATTCACAAACAGCCACACACACAACTCCTACAGAAGCCCAAGTAGTGTTGATCCATGAGAAAGCTCACCAGATACACCAATATCAGAGAGCACAGCTTTCTTGCGGTCCTTGACGCTGCTGATCTGCGGAAAGTAGACATCTAGCGCCAGGTAAAGAAGGCAGCTGAGGAAGGAAAGGACTCCCACGGTGATACCATAGTTGCAGGCATTCTGGTTGCTGTTGTAGATGCAGTACTCCTTCGATTCAGTTGGCTTGTTGATGTAGCCTTCATTCACAATACAGCTAAAGACAACGATGGAGAAAATCTGGATTCAAGGAAGTGAGAAAAGAAGATTCGCTATAGAAACACAGACTCTCCACCAGCAACAAGCTCTTTCAAACCCCATTGATAGAGTTAAGCAGCTTGCTAACTAAGATTTGGTGTTTTAGCACAGCATTCTAATGCCCTCCAGCCCATTAGATTTAAGTAGCTCCTGTTTTCTCAACTGGTAATTTATCTGCCAGAAATATGCTTGAAATATGCTAGTAGAAGTAGCAGTGCTATTCCCACATTACTCAGATCTAGTAACATTACACTACAATGATGCCATAATCCAACCTTCCCTCTGTATTCTCTTCCCACATGTCCAATCTATTCAAATTTTACTATAAATGTTCTTTACCTCCAATTACTTTTTAAATTATGGATTCGGGGTTTTCATCACATTCATCACATATCCTTCCTTTTCAATTTCCTTATCTTTTCTGTCATTTTGCCAGATGTTGGTACCTGGTATGGTCTAGAAATACTTACATGAACCCAACACTAGTGCTGCACAATCAGCTTTTGATAACGGATGAACAGGATTGAGATCTCTCACACCTGTTCTTTGAAAAGATCTTGGAAATCTCCCCCAGCATCTTTCCTTTTTTCCCTTCTTCATTATAGTAATATTTGAACTGTCAGTGCTATAAATAGATTGTGTATGTGAATTACAATGATTGCTCTGTGGTAGAACTGCAGGCTTGGGGACCACGTGAGTTACCTAGTGTCCTAATCTGGCCATTCAGAGTTTCCCAGATAGCAACTCCCTCTCTACCTCTCCAGGCTCTACCTCCTTTCTCCAGTTATTTATCTTTTGGGGGTTTCCAGGCTTTGAGCAGTTCTTTCTCTATCCTAAGTGGTTAGAACACCTCACTTAAGGCTTAATTACTAGCCATAAAAACTTGAAGGCAAAATACGCATGGTTATTTGGGCCTGGCCCCCTTTGCTGTGGGTCTTGCCTATGCTGGAAAGCAGCCCCCAAGTGTTTCCCCAAAAATGGGATTTAGCTCTCAGACTTTGACAAATTTGGTAACTATGACAGGAAAAATCATGGCCTAGAATTGGCGGAGGGGAGAGCATGGCTTCTTTCCAGGAGCTTCAGTACCTCTTACCCTTTCAAACTGCAGTACATAACCTCACACACAGACCTACCACACTAAAATAGCTATTCTGTGATGGTCTGACAAAGCTATTGATGACATACCACCACAACTTGTTCATCTACATCTAATCCAACAGAGCCTCTCTTCATCTACACCCCTTATACTGAGTGTTTTGACTTTTCAACATGATTGTAATGGCAAGAAGTTTCTGAAACGGTCGTGTTTGCTGGCCTGGGCAATTTTAATATAAAACTATGGTTCCTGACAGAGATGAAAAAACCTGCATGAAGTACACCCAGATGCCTGAGACTGCTCTTTGCAAGGGGAAGTGCTTCCCCAGCCTGTTATCAGGAAGGAGGAATAACGGGTGGGGGTTGCTTCATCATCTTGGGAGAAGGCTAACCTCCGCACAAATACTGGGAGAAGCACAAAGGCCGTTAAAGCTATGGAATCATCCCGGCAACAGGAACCATGCAGGCACAGCACCCTTGTATGTGTGATGCACAGAGATCACGATGAAGAATGCAAGAGTTAACCTGCTGAATATGGACATACATTTACTGTCTGGCTAAATTCTTCACAGAAATGAAGGTTTCCTTTGTATTCCCTTCCTGTTCGGAATCCAAAGCAATGCTGGAGCATCTGCATCCTACCATTGCTATACTTTAATGCCATGCAACATATCCATCCATTTGCAAGTCATGCAAAACATATAATATACAACACACACACACAAACATACTTATTTAAAATAATATCAAATTCTGCTTTATCAAGAAAAATCCTCTTGGAGCAGCTAATGCATGGTTTTTAAAATGGCAACAATTCCTCTTTAAAAGATAAAGAACGCTCAAGATAAAGATCTAATGTAGCAATATAAGCCAGGTTAAAAATAGTATTTTAAAATGCAGCCGTCAAGGCTGCAATCCTATGTACACTCACTGAAATAATAGAAACAGGTTCCTGAATGAATGCGACTGACTTCCAAGCAAACATATATAAGGATTATGCAGGGAAAGATCCAATTAGAAAAGATCTGGTACCGGAAAAACAGCTTCAGAACTAGGTGAGTCTTCCTGGAGACATTCTAAAGTTTGGGTGTCACAGCTGAAAAAGCCCTTTCCCAGTGCCCCTAATTTCTGAAGACAGCAGGAACCAAAAAGCAGCCTCTAATGAACATTTCAATAGTCAAACAGACTCATTGGGAGGCAGTGTTTCTTAGGATAGTCTCATGTTTAAGTTTTATTTGCCTCTAGAAAATGTTCATGCAATTGGTATTGCAGGTATCTGCAGTTACATTGGTATCTCCACTTACTAACTGGAGAGAGTTCCATAACCATGAAGCAATCTCCAATAATAATTGTATGCAAGCCTTTTCCTCTGAACCACTCTCACTGTAGAATCTTGCTAGTATACATACCTTGCTTAGAGGCTAACTGTAGTTATTAAATGGTGATGAATAGATGCATATTCACATAATCATTTGGAGAATCAAAATCGAAATCTACATTTAGATAGAGAAGGAAATAATTCCAGATGAACCTTGATATCGGAAATTCTGAAATTCCACGGTTAGCTCATACCAAAACACTACTAATGATTCTGAGTACCATGGTATGCTTACACCTGAAGTAAGAAGTCAAAAATAGTAACATTCTACTCCAGACCACAGTTTTTATATGACACACAAAGGAATTAGAGGCAGGAAAACTACATTTAGATTTAGATATCTGAAACAAGTGCTTTGCAAGATCAAGGGCAATATCGTTTCTGTTTTCATTGCTGAAAAAAAAAATCAGATCACAGTAACATCCCCTAGTTCAGTGGTGGCAAACCTATGGCACGCATGCCGCAGAGAGCATGCAGAGCCCTCTGTGTCGGCACACAAGCCAAGTTGCCCCAGCATCGCCCCAGCAGCCGAGCATCAGATAACAGCGCACACAGGGGCCATGCACATGCTCAGAAAGGAGTAGTGGCACCAGGCAATGACATCACAAGCCGCGACTCATTAGCCGCAACCCCTCCAAGTGTTTGCATGGCCAGTCAGTGTGCTGCCAAGGAGAGATATACATATATATTTGCATGGACTGGCTGTGAGGTGTTTTTTCTAAACTAAAACCTCAGTTTTCAGGTTTTATTATAGTGTTGGCACATTGCAATAAATAAGCGGGTTTTGGATTGCCGTTTGGCACTCGCTTTCTAAAAGGTTCGCCATCAGTGCCCTAGTTATTGACAGAGAGCCAATTCATTGTCTTCCTGGTCTCCTGAACCAACCGATGCAAGAACAAAACAAAAATCAGACACAAGAGTCTCGAAAAAGCACATAGTCCCCCCCTCCCCTCCATAGTCACTTAAGTACATAGTACTTTACACATAGTACTAGGAGAAAGTATGTTCCAACCAGTTTTAAGAATTCGGGATAGGGAACAGGGAATGAAGACCATGGGCAAAATTATAAATCGTATAGGCACCAAAGTTACATTCTCTTTCCATTGGAAATCTTGCTCAGGTCCCATGTGACTTTCATAACACCACTAGATATTTTCCTTGAAGTGGCATTCCACAATCATTGGCTGCAAATGTGAACTCCCTTCTGGCCCCAACATTACACAGTGAATTGAGCAGACACCATAGACAGTAAACCTCTTGAATGCCATGTGACGCTTGTAGCGTGATACCAATTTCCAGAAGTCTGTTAGGCCCTCCTGAGTATCATGTGAGGCCTCTGCAATTCAGACTATTAATGTTTCTTAAACACCACAGGAAGGAAATGATGATTCTGCTCCAATGTCCTACTGCTTAATTTTAGAAGATGCTACCTTGTTTTGGCTGGAATGTGCATGCATTTCTCTTTCCTTCCAACCCTCAACACCATGATCCCTGTCATTAATGAGCCTGTTTCTACACCAGCCCATTCTTCCTTGTTCCTTTTTAAATTAAATTTTAAAAAGGAAATTATTCTTTTACATAATGTTCCCTACTGGATTTATAATCTAATCTGCATCATGCAAAATAAAAAGCAAATATTTCTTGTGTTTGAAATAGCCAATATTTTATAAGTGTTATATATATAGGCAGTCCCTGGGTTATGAACAAATTATGTGCCCAGGAAAACAGAAATTCATATTTAAACTGAATCTTTACGTTAAGTTGGATCTCGTGTAGTTGTCACTCCACATTCAGGTGGGTTGGGGCACGAGGAACCTGCAAAAGTGGAAAAACCGCTAATATCTCTTAGCTCCCACCTCCCCCCAAATTCAGCAGTACCTCCTCTTTGCAGCAAGGGAATCTTATTGTCTAATGTGGCAGGATAACAATCCAACAAATGCTGGAGAGATTTCCAACTCAGGATGGGTAGGATAGGAAGGCATGCTTTGGAGGCTCTCCCTCTCTTCCATTTGCTTCCTCTCTCTCTATGGTGATTACCATTTTTGCAGTAATTTTTTAAAAAAATTAATAGGATGTATGGCAGTTTATTCATAAATACAGCTTAACACAGACATTTGTAACTCAGGGACTGCCTGTATTCTTATTTATCATTACATTTTAAAAGAAAATGATTACTACTACTATATGAATTGGACAATAATAAATTTTAAAGATAAAGAAATAAATTCAAAAGTCATGACTTTAATATTGCCTTCATGGAGTATTGTCTTCTATATACACTGCTAGTCACCCTGGGCTCTTTGTGAAAAATGACATTCAGCAGCTGCAGCTGTTCCAGGTGTGGCCAAGGAAGACTCTTGCCTGAATTCCTGGAGAGCTGCTGCCAATCACTATAATGAAAGCTAACATGGACCATCATCCCAACCTACTGCACTTTGGTAAATGGGGTTAAACTGTACTTTGTGAGCTGCTTCTTCTACTGCTGCAGTTTGTGAAGTGCCACAGAGGA